GACTTGTCCTTTTGCTAAGTACACAATTAGTGACGACTTATGATGCTATAACTATTATTAGTCAAAGCACTTAATTATTAGATGAAAAAATCACGAAATTTCTCAAGAGTCCTTTGGTAATGATTACCGCTAAATTATAATTAATGAATACATATTATCACCTATGATTTTGGTGCAAACTCTATGTGTGGATAAATTTTCATTCTTTGCGTTATGTATCCGCAATTAAAAAAATTGACAAGNAATAGAGAACAAAACTTCAGCTATTATGCTTAAGTTCAGCAATTACAAACAAAAATTTCAGCAAATAGAGAACAAAACTTTAGTTACTATGCTTAAGTTCAACAATTACAAACAAAAACTTCAGCATATCGAGAACAAAACTTCAGCTACTATGCTTAAGTTCAGCAATTACAAACAAAAACTTCAGCAAACTTGGTTCAGCACACTTGCTACTTCAGGCCCGTCTACTAGAATGCCGAAGTTTTGCGTGATTGCCTTTGCTACTTTAGCCTCGTATGCTGAAGTTACGCGAAAAAGTGGGTACGCTTGCAATTTTTTTTGCAAAGCGGGCACAAGTTAAAACGTGACCCAAAAAGCGGGTATAGATGCAAATCCCCCTAGCATAAAAATTGCACGGGGCGCCCTATTTGGTCGCCCTCATTTAACCTATACCCATTTTTTTTAAAGTTTTAACTTTTACCCACATTTTAAACAACTTCAGCCCCATTTCTCCTCCTCATTCTCCTCCTTCGTTTTCTTCTTCTTCTTCTTTCTTCTGCTGCTGTTGGTGCTGCTATGAAACTTCAGTTCATGGGATGATTGTCATAAGTATGTTTATCAGATTATTTAAAAATAAATTATAAATAATTACGTAAGTTAGTAGACAATAATTTGTGAATATTTCCACTTACGGGAAGTTTAAGGTCAGATTAGTGATTCTTTTCATGATAATTTTGTTCTTTTCACGTTTATTTGTTTCCAAAATTTTATGATTTAGATACTGTTGGCAATCTGATTATTTTATAGTAGTCTGATTATAACAAAACTAATGAATCCAGGACAAAAAAACTTCAGCTTATTTAGTGCTGAAGTTTTTACAAATGAACTAAACAACTTCAGCATCTTCTCCTGAAGTTTTTGAAGCTTTATGACAAAACTAATGAATCCAGGACAAAAAAACTTCAGCTTATTTAGTGCTGAAGTTTTTACAAATGAACTAAATAACTTCAGCATCTTCTGCTGAAGTTTTTGAAAAAGCTTATCCAGGACAAAAAAACTTCAACTTATTTAGTACTGAAGTTTTTATAAATAAACTATGCTGAAGTTTTTAAAAAAGCTTAATGACAAAACTAATAATCCAGGACAAAAAATCTTCAGCTTATTTTGTGCAATTACAAACAAAAACTTCACCAAATAGAGAACAAAACTTCAGCTACTATGCTTAAGTTCAGCAATTACAAACAAAAACTTCAGCAAATAGATAAAAAAACTTCAGCTACTATGCTTAAGTTCAGCAATTACAAACAAAAACTTCAGCAAATAGAGAACAAAACTTCAGCTACTATGCTTAAGTTCAGCAATACAAACAAAAACTTTAGCACACTTGGTTCAGTACACTTGCTACTTCAGGCCGTCTACTAGAATGCTGAAGTTTTGCGTGATTGCCTTTGCTACTTCAGCCCCGCATGCTGAAGTTACGCGAAAAAGTGGGTACACTTGCAATTGTTTTTTGCAAAGCCGGCACAAGTTAAAACATGACCCAAAAAGCGGGTATAGATGCAAAAAAAAAAAAATTAAAGTTACAGAAATTACATGACCACATTTTCCAAAAGTTATTAGCAAGATGATACATTGTTATTCATTTAATTATGTATTAAATTCATAATTCGAGAGATAAAATTGAATAAGTTGCTAAAAAGAATATCCATTAGATTTTCTTTTTGTAGATACAACTAAAATATATCGATCATTTGTGACAATTTCATACTGTAAAATCAATTTTCGAAGGACAAGTACTCATACTTGGTCCTCATTAAAGCAAAACATTAAATTAATCTTGAAACACAACATTGTACCCATATTGAGAGAAATTAAACTTAAACCATGATTGAAACGCTTCGATCCTCAAAGGACTTTTCAGTGCGAATTCGAATTTTGTCGAGTCCCAATAAAAAAACCGACAATGGGGAAAAACTATTTTTTTTAAAAGAAAGATATGGCACATCACTACACGTAAAGGAGTGATAGTAATAGTTGACTAGCCGACTAGTAGTTGCGCAATTGATCTTTTAATTTAACCCACAGCACTAAGACGAATATACCGAGCCAAAACCTACTCCTTATAGTATTATAATAAGTAGAATAATACGACACTTCCATTAAGAAAGTAAACTCCAGAAAATAACATAGTAATCCATCTCTGTACAAACAAGTACGAACAGGTACAGATGTAGACATACATATTTCATATTTGGGAAAATATTTTTTTTTTTATTGATCTCTTTCACAAGACTTTTCCTCTATATACAAAAATATCGACATAAGATAACTCTATTTGATACTAGGCAAAGAGCTCCGAAGGTTGAGAATAGAAACTAATAAAATTCACTTGGAGAAAATGGAATACTAAGTCTATTTTCTAAGAATACTGCTTCTTTTCTATATATATGTATAGTGAATAGGGACAGACATCTTTACATTAAATGTGATGTAACATTTACAAGAACATGCAAATAACACAAAACAAAAACTAAAGATATAAAAGAAAAAAGAAAAAGAAAAGGGAGAGAAAGAAAATGTAATAAAAGGAGATCATGATTGTTAGAGAAGAAAGGGAAACTGAAATCGTTTTTTTGTCTATCATTCTCACAATTTGTTTCTTCCCCGAGCAGTAGTAGTGCTAATACGTACTTAGTTAATTTTTCTGCATATTAATACTAATTTACTTATTTTTAGATCCCTTGGGTATTCGAGGTACTCTAGAAAAAAAAGATTTTATGGTAAAAATTCTTTTACAGTAATACTTTATTTAATTTTGTGTCCTATAGGCTCCCAAGTGTGATACACTAAGCGAATCACACATCAACAAAACACGGAACGATACTGGAATATATAAATAGATAATCCTTAGATTCTAGTGACGCGTCTTAAATTCGTGTGGACCGAAGCCCAAAGCGGACGATATCACTAGTGGGTTGAACTGTTACATATGGTATTAGAGTCACTCTGCTTGCAACATTGAACAATGGTAAGGCAAACATCAGAGTCCCTAAATTGGTGTATGTGACACCCTAGGTGAATCTCACATTGACAAAATACGGGAGAGATGCTATATATATAAGTAGATATACCTTAGACTTTAGTGACGCATTTTAAATTCATGTGGGCCTAAACCTAAAACAGACAATATCACTAGTGGGTTGGGTTTACATATGGTATCAGAGCTACTTCGCTTGCAACTTTGAACGATGGTGTGGCAAACCTCAGCGAGGACGCTGAGTCCCTAAGGGGGGTGTATGTGACACCTTAGGCGAATCCCAAATTGACAAAATACGGGAGTGATGCTGTATATATAAGTAGATATGCCTTAGACTTTAGTGACGAGTTTAAAAATCGTGTGTGCCTAGGCCTAAAACAGACAATATCACTAGTGAGGTAGGCTGTTATATATGGTATCAGAGCTACTTCTCTTGCAACCTTTAGCGATAGTGTGGCAAACCTCAGGGAGGACGCTAAGTCCCTAAGGCGGGTGTATGTGATACCCTAGGCGAATCTCACATCGACAAAATATTGGAGAGATGCTGAGTATATAAATAGACAAGACTTAGATTCTAATGATGCATTTTAAATTCGTGGGAACCTAGGCACAAAGTGTACAATATCACTACTAGGCTGAGCTATTATACCAAGTTAGCCTAAAAAGTAAGTTTCATAGATAAGCAAAAAAGTATTTTACAATACATATTTTCATAAAATGCATTTTGTCACTTATATCATACCAAAGACAACCTTATGGGGTCGTTTGGTTTGCCATACTAATATATATATATATATATATATATATATATATATATATATATATATATATATATATATATATATAATAATTTACCTAAGATATTGTGTATTATTTTATGCAAGATAAAATGTATAATAAAAGACGAAAATTAGTAATACATGAATTAAGAAAGAACTAATATTATCAAAATAATCCCATTATTTGAACGTTTAGAAAACTCACGAAACATGATTTTTTTTATTAATCCATACATTCTATCCATTCCCTAAAATTCATTAATTAATTATCCTTACATTACAATTTCGGCATTACTATTCCTGCATTGTTAACTACTATAATCTCATTTTTAATTCGTTCAAAACTTGTCTTTAAACCGAACTACCCTTGATCCAAATACCCTTTTTCACTTTTAATTTTTGTATGTTTTATTCAAATTTCACCCAGTGACATAAATTAATTTCACATGGAAAAGAGTTGAATTTTGTGGATGGAAATTTAATAGAGATTTCAGGTTTAAAAAACTCCTAAAACATGTCTTTCAAACTTTAAATTATTTTTTCAAGTTGAATTTGCCGATGGTAGCAGAGCCACTCTTGTGTCGATCTTGCCGATGGTGGGTTAGAATTCTGAGTTTAAACAAATTCCGGTTAGGTAGGGCAAACCTCAGCGAGGACGCTGAGTCTATAAGAGGGGGTGTATGTAACACCCCAAACTTTAGACAGAGTCCCACATCGATAAAATACAAGGCAGAGACTAGTCATATAGGTTAACAAGCTTTAGACCCTACTGACGCATTTTAAAAATTTATCACTTTTTTAGAAGCATTATTCGGATATGATTAGTGTCAGACTATAGCTGCACCCTTTCTATTTACTTATCTTCTGCTTGTGGCGAGGGGATGCGCACTCATTCATATCTTTATAACATCATACATAAAAATATTTTATGTTTCCCCTTATTCTTGCTTTGACCACCAACAGTGACAATATCACCACCAACAGCGGCACAACTAACAGGAGTGGCCGGAGCACAACCATCACCTTTGTTAACCACTAGAATTTGTGGTCCAAATTCAGTGTACGTATAATTAGCTGAAGTCGGTTAATAGTGTGTAAATTATTTTATCTTTTATATTTTTTGTTTTCATCCCATTATTTATAAATATTTTGTTATAGGCTTGTCTCACCAAAATATTTGATTTATAGTGTAAGAGAATGTTAGTTAATGGAGAAGAAATTACTCTTAACATTTGAGAAATACGTGACAGTGAGAATATAGTAGAGACAGAATGGAGCATTCCATCTGTTGATTTTGTTTAGGGGTGAAAAAAGTGGCCCAAACTCATTTGATCCGTCCAGATTTTAATAGGATGGGATGAGCTACTTTAATGATGGGCGTTGTTCCAATAAAAACAATAGGAACATCTGGAGCTCATTGTCTCAAAAGAGGAATTCACTGCAAAATAATAAATCATATGTAAGGACTGTACAAGATAGAATAATAAACCAAAATTGAAAGAGCTTACTGTTCCCTCGACACGTTGAAAGCTTGAAAGATCATCCACCAAAGAAAAATATATGAGGACAAAATCAACGGAAGATAGACTCCATTGAGTCACTACATTATCTTGACCTTGCCTCATTTTCCACATGTTAAATGTAATGGTTCTTTTACTTTACTCCAAAGACCAAATATTTTGTTGTTAGACTCCTACAAAATAAAGAAACAATCGGAATTTATAAAAGGATACGAAAAAATAGATTTAAATAAAACATACTTAATATACAATTAAGTGAGTAAATATTATTAATACACTTACCACAACCTCATTAATATTAAGAAAAGCAGTTAATAGAGCAAATGGTTGTGGAGCCATATTTTGTTGTGGCGCAATCAAATTCACTCTAGCAATATCTTGTTGTGCAACCTGCAAGTAATCTCCTTTTTTGTGCCTCATTTTGTTCTGCCTCCTCCAGATTTACATTTTGTTGTCCTCCCTTCAAATTCACATATTTTTGTCCTCCCTCCAAACCCACAACTTGTTGTCCTCCCTCCAAGTCTCCTTAAATGATCTTTTGTGTTCCACCTTCAAATTCCCTTGAACTGTATCTTATTGTGCCATCTTCTCCCAATGCCCTAATATCATAATGTCTATTGCCGTTGAGTTGCTTTTGATTTTCTAGATTAATTTTGCTGACAAAGTTCCCATAGAAAGAAGCAAAGGGAAAACAGAAAAACCACTCTTGATAATGAATGCAAGAATGATCCAAGGGAATGGAAACCAAGTTGTAACACAACACTTGTAATCTGGAGTTTATAACTTGTGGATAAACCCAGCAAAAATAGGAACATCTTACACAACATTGATAAACCTTTTCCAGCGCATCAGTTGTTCCATATAATGCAATTGGTAGTTTTCTTTTATATGATCCAAAAAGGTCAGAGAAAAGACATACCAAAGATGCAAATGAAGATATTAAAGTAGCTACACAATTTCCTTGAACTACTGGAAATATATGAGGAAATTGACATCACATTGCCACTCCAGCTTCAATACTCATGTTAATTAAAAATATGTACTCAAAAAACAACCTTGTACCACGAAAATAGTAATAGATCACTGACGCCTGAATAAAACTGAAAGCACCAACTACAAAAAGAGGTAATCCCCAAAATAAAATAGTGAGAATAATATTATGGAAAATCATCGAAGTGAGGGTGGGAGAGGGGGAGATCATCTGAGGGCAAGTGCAATTCATTTCGCAGTGGAGGAAAAGTTGAAGAGCAAGACACAAAATCAAAGTTTTTTTTTTGCGAGACAGTGATTGCAAATTTTCATCATAAAGCCCGCAAGAGATTGGCATATCATTTCTCGGATGGTAGAAATAAGAACAAACGGCATGAATTGTGTCTACATCATTTATGGGATGATTTGTTAAGGCAGTGACAGACCGAGGAGTTCTTAAAGAAGAGCGAACAAGGAAAGAAAGTTCGCTCATCCAAGAAGGGAGATTTCTTTCATATTAGGGGTTCTATCAACATCGGGACAATAAGAAGAAGATTTGTAATTCCTTAAATTATTACGTCTTTACTTTTCTAAGTATATCAATTCTATTTATTAACCAAATTAATTTGTTTTCAGGAAAAAAAAGTATGGGCGTCCACTGCAGCAAGATGAGCTATTCATGGAGACACGTATTTTAAAGAAGAAGTAAGACACGGGTGCAGATAGGTGGGTCGGAGACCGAGCAGAGACTACATATGTAAGCTTTCAAATTTCTTTAAGAGTTACAATTTACTTTTATAAAAAAATTTATATACTAATTTGATTTAAAATAGTGTATGATCGCTACCAAAGTTCTGTGGAGGATTTCATTCGTAGTCAATCAGCTGGTGAATCGGCCGAGCCAACCCAACCTTCGGACGAGGATGATGAAAGAATGTGGTTGGAGGTTGTTGTTGGTCCAAAAAAAGGGAAGGTATACGGGCTTCCTGAGAAAATAATCCATCGCCTATAGGTGTGGAATGAATAGGAACTTCCTCACAGGGCGAGGCGCTTAATAGGGAGACTGTCTCGGCTATGCAGGAGAAGATGACAAGCCTTACATCCAAGCTTGAAATGGCCAAGGAAAGAGAAAGGCCTAGAGATGCACAATTTCTTGGTTTGCAAGCTCAAATAAGAACTCTGCCTCGGTCTCGTGAGTCATCGCCAGAGGCCCGACCTCCACGTGATCGTTCCTCCCGTCCTCCAAGTGATCATTCTGCCCGTCCTCCACGTGATCGTTCTTCCGGCCTTCCACAAGATTGTTCTTACCGTCTTCGAGATGAAAGTTCATCAGATATTGGTGATGCAATAGAAATACCCCTTGAACAATAGTTTGATATTCTTTGAACTAGATTAATTGAACTTGTTTTGAATTCGAATGAATATTTTTTAAATTGTTTTAAAGGTTTGATTCGTTTGAATTGGGATGGTTGGTTGGATATGGTTGAATAGGTGCATGAGTGGTTGGATTTATGGTGAA